AATGTTACTGCTCAAACTTTGATTAAATATTTTTATTCTAAATTGGCCTATTTTATTTTAGATATACTTTGAATGTCAATATTTATAATTTACTGGTTTAATTGTATGTTTTCTTCCTTTCTCTGTAGAGAATGGATATAAACTGATGAATAATTGGGAAATCACCCTGTCATTTAAGAGCCATGTAATATCCATATAAACATTTCTGATCCCTAATATTAAAAACAAATACTAATCACTGTCATGCTTATCTTAGAGGATATAGTATGAATAATACAGCATCATGTGTGTCTATCTATTCATTAAGACTATGTGTTAAACATTTTATAAAGCATTGGATAAATAGCACATTGGGAAGAATCATGGGGGGGAATTCAAATATATGGAAAGTTTCTTAGTGTCATAAATGGTTTCCATTTACTGAAACTTTTTACTGTTACTAGACACAGTGCCATGGGCCTTATAGTCATTATTTCATTTAAGTCCTTTGACACTTGTGATGTTATTGCTACTGTTAGAGATGAGGAAAAAGGCTCTGAGAATCATGTATTTCAAGTGCCTTTTGAGTACCTGTCATTTGCCAGTGTACGTTGTAATCTCAACAAACGTGTTCGACTGCCCTCATGGAGCTTAAATTCTAGAAGGGAAGACAGATATTAATCAAGTATTCACACAGATGAATAAATACATTTATATGTAATAGATTATAGATAAGTTGCAGATAAATATTCACAACTGTCTTAAGTGCTATGACAGAAAAACCCCTTGTGAAACAGGAAACTAATGGGGAACTTGACTGGGAAGTGAGGGCAGCTGCCCTCAGGAATAGAAGTAGTATTCGAGTTAAAATCTGAAAGATGAGCAAGAGTTAAGAGTGTACAGTGGGGTTGAATGGTGGGCAGATTGAAGGGCTCTGCCCAAAGATTGCCTGACTGAATGGGATTATAACTCAAGGTTCTCGGTCATATGGAGAGTTCACACAGACCTGGGTCGGCTTCCTGTGGCTTTATGAGTTCAGTGTCTTTAGGCAGGGTACTGAATTATCTCCACCTTAGTTTCCTCATTTGTGAAATAAAGGTAATGATAGTGCTAACCTCACGGTATTTTCTGAGGATTAAGAGAGCTAATGTTTGTAAAGTATGTGACATTAGTAAGTAGAAAATGGCAAATATCCAGTAAGTCTAGCTATTATTAATGATACTAGGTAATAGGTTACTGTTAAAAAATTTTAAATCCTACCTTTGGAAGAAGAAAAGACAGAGGAATAAAAAGAGATGATTGCTTCTCTAGCCCTTTTGAGGGCTTCCTTCTCTTCTTAGGGTCTTTCCTCTACACCTACTGCCCACAAACTCTGTCAAGTCCCTGAACACAGGGACTCTGCCACCCGTTTCTTGCCACTTAACACAGTACTTGGCTCCAAAATAATGGTTTTTGCATAATGATAGTATTTAAAGCTGGAGGAGGGGATAGAATTGCCAAAATAAAAAATGAGAGAGCCTGGCCGTGGGAAACACCTGTATTTATTTACAGTGGAGAGTGAGTGAGAAGTTGTTGCCAGTGAAACTAGGATTGTTGGTCTCTACAGCCCAGGAATGAAGGAAGAGTGCCGGAAGCTGCACTGAGGTCTCGGAAGACCAGGAGACTAGAAAAAGGGACCAAAATTCATGAGAACATTCCTTTTGGAGAAAGTTTCAGGAACGTGTGGGACAGAAACCAGATTGCAAAATTAAAATGTAGGTGGTTGTGCGGAAGTGGAAGCAGTAGGTGTTGGGTGCATGGATTTTTCTTTCAAGAAATCCATGGTAAAGGTAAGCAGAAAGAATAATTACTTTTAATAAGTTGCAGGCTTAAGAAAATTTATCATTGTTATTGTTCTGGGGATTTGTCAATGCTGATCATGTAAGAACTGAGAAAAGAAAAACAGCACTCCTGATGAGTCATGGAGGGGCTGATAACCTGAGATAGCCAGACCTGCATGAAGATCCCTGATATATAGGTGGGAACAGTCTGACTAAACTGTCTACTCCTTTCCTGGTGTCCCCTTTCTGCCACCTCATCGTCATCTCTGGATTTTCTATAGTTGAGAGTGCTCAGCAGTGAGTGGGAGGAATTCACATGTTGGCTGAATGAAGGAAGACGTGAATATGCTCACAAAAATGAAAGCTTATCCATTTCTACTCTTCCCAGCTGTCTCCTTGTAAAGCATGTACATTTTTGAGGCTTAACTGCTTTTGATAATTTTATGATAATTTATTTTCTTTAAGTGTGGGTGAGTTGGCAAGTGATCACATTGGTTCTGTTTTGTTGTGAATAAATAGTATGTCAAAGTTTTATGCTGTTTCAAAAATGTTATTTAGAATAAAACTTCCTTTGAAGCCACAATAGTCTCTTACTCAAAATATTTATTTAGACCATATTGTTTAAATATATATAATTCCCTTAAGGAACAATTGTAGTCTATAAAAATCTGAATTTAAAACAAGTAGACCTTCTGGAATTCATAGAAATACAAAATGGATATTCCAGTGTTTAAGTGTTTATATACAAAAGGAGTTGAGGTGTTCCAATGTTTGTGTGTTTAGGTACAAAAAGAGTAGAATTCATAAAAAAAGGATGATGAACTTAATTCCCAAATGTGCCAGATGTATAAAGTTACTTAGGTAGAGAAAATATTTAAATCATAAGCTGGTTTAGAGCAAATGAATAAATGATTTAATCAGTGAATAAATAATTATACATAAAAATAAAGCAAATCTGTAGTCTCTTAATTTGTTCTGTCCTGAATGTAGCAATAATTAAAATTGACAAAAGTGTGCTTTAAACACAATATAAAATTAGGCTATTTTTGTAAAATAATTAAATATTAACAAAGTAATGATTTAAAACATGTATGTCTTTTATGCTGGAGTTAACATATAATCCTTGAGAAATCATTTTATTGGGACTTTTTAAATTTTGGTAAAGCAGAGGTGATTTTTTTTTTTTTGGTATGTTTTTGAAAGCTTTTATTAAAGCTGTTCAGATTACATGAATATTTTCATTTCAATGTGGTTGCCATATCTGGATTTATAATTAGATAGTTTGTGAAGTGCATTTTTTTTTCTTTAGTAGAAACACCTCCCTCTAAACTAAACTGTTTTGTTTGGGTTTGGGTTTTTTGACCATATTACAGTCAAGTTGTGAGTTCATTAACTAATGAACATGTTATTTAAAGAAGCTCTTTCTAACCTGTTACATTCTGATATATTGCTCAGTCAGTAAACTATTGAAATTGAAATAAGAAACTTTGGGAGAAGTATTTCCTCATATAACCTACAAATATATATATTATTCTTGCTTAGTCAGCATTTCCTTTGGTGTTCCTATTTCTTATTAGTGATTCTTCAAATCACGATACATAAAGCAAAGTTTCACAACCTGGCTAATACATAATTGGACTGTTGACATTGGAAGACAAACCCTGAAATACCAGGCAGATTATACAATTGCGTGTTTCCCCAGTGGTAATGGAGCAGCAAATTAGAGGTGGAGGTGAACTAAGGAAGGAGTCTATCGTGAAGACAGACTCTTATTGCAAACCGAATAGGGAAACTATAGATTTTATGTTCATTAGTGAAAGTGAAAAACTTTTCAAAATTGCCTGATAAGGGACAGTAAAACCTGTCCAGTTTTACTCTCTGTAAATGGAATTGGCCCAACAGTGTTGACAATGTCTAAAATACTGTCTGTTATAAGTGAGACAGTTTATATAAAATTCCAAATGGAATATGAGCTCTAGGAATAGGAGCATCTGGAAGCTGTGTAAGTGAGCATATCTTTCAGTTGTAGAACTGCAGTTTCAGGTAGTTGCAGCCTCTCCTCCAAACACCACTCCCCCACCCCAAATCAGTAAGCATTGATTGCATCTAAAGCTGTAGAGCCATCTTTTCCTGGCAGTTCAGATAGTTACAGTAGATTGTTAATCTGTGAATGATCGGACTAAGTCCCTTCGGTCTTCAGAATTTCCATGCAAATTAGAACTAAATATATGAGATAAATTTATTAAGTGTGGTCTAGGAGCATAAGGTCAGCTTTTGCACAAGTTTTAAGCACAGGTTTTTATCCATAAAAAGTTACACTTCATTTATGCTAATTTTCTGTGGATTCACTTTATAATATAAACTGGTAAAATGTTTTTAGAAAGTAATCGTAAGGAAAGTTTTTTGAGTGTCTTTTCAGTTTTCTAAGATCCAGTTGGATTGTTACCAATATAAGATGTTTGCATAAATGGCTTTTCCTATTCCATATATGATCTAAAAACAAATTTAAACTTGGTTTCTTACATCACCATTAAAGTAAAAGGAATGTTGTTTTGTATTTTTCAAAATAGGAATGAAAATGAAACTAATATATCAAAGTGGAAAAACAAGGAATTGGAAAGTAGATAAATAATACCAGAAGTATGTTAGATTTTATTGAGCCAATAGGGATGTCTTTCAAAGTGTATCTGAAAGATTAACAAAGCATCCTAAGTGAAACTCAGCACAAGAAAAGTAACATTCTAATAATAATATTTGTATGTCATGTTTTACTTTCACCAACATTTCACTTGAGCATTATTGTAGTAGAATGTATTTTCCTGCATTATTGCCAAGTGGATAAACTTAAATGGGAATATATAGTAGCAGCAATATTTTGTTCTGTTTGGGATCCCTAGCGTTACAAATCAAGCATCTTGTAGAATACATAATCCTTTATACTTATTCTGCTTGGTCTACGTTTCTAATTTAAAGGTTAAATATGAATGACATGAAACATTCTATTAGTGTGTGAGCTTTGTTTTCTTACATTTTTTTTTTTGGTAAGAGATTTTGATGGTATCCAAATTTATTTTTAAAACACTCCAGGCCCCTACCAACATAAAGCCTATAAAAATGGAAATGGATGTTACTTATTAAAATGGTAAAGAAATACAATACCTTTGAACAGATGCTGATCCTTTTTTTTCCTCTATTTTTCAGGCCATCCGTTGCACACTGGTAAACTGCACGTGTGAATGTTTTCAGCCGGGGAAGATTAACCTGAGGACTTGCGATCAGTGTAAACATGGCTGGGTGGCACATGGTGAGGAAAATCTGGACTTTTCTTCCTGTTCTTGTTAGGTTCATGTGAATGTGCGTATTTTTTCAGAGCAGTCACTGCCCTGGAGAAGAGAGGGGTCAGCTGTGCTCCAAGAGCTAGTTAACATGCAGGCTGCAGCTCTCAAACAGCATATTCTCGGCTCCAAGGAGTAAGTCTAGGCAAGCAGTTCTTAGCAGAAGGGTGCGATGTTTATAGGACAGTTGGGCCGTGGGGTTCTGACTGAACGTAGCAGCAGCCAGCAAGCACCAGGCCTGATGGAAACTCAAACATACCACAGTTGGCCTTTCAGGGCCTGTACCTCAGAAGGAGGCTGGCAAACCCTCTTTGCTTGAGGAGAATTCGTCGATGACTGCTCACCCTTGTCGTATGCTTTTGAGGCTGCATTTATCCTCCCAGATGTTAAATTTTGTATGGTCCAAGGTGAGTGAGAGAGTGAACGGGAACATTGTTTGGCTAGTATCTGAAAAAATAATGTGTAAATACCCCCTTTCAGTGCTCATCGGGATTGGAGGTGGCCGGTGTTGAATGGGGGCTCTGCATAGGTGTGTCACCTGAGGGTGACCCATGGCCATGGCTGCAAGTGTTGCTGCTTTTTGCCAGATGCACAGAGCTGTTCCATCAGTGTGGAACATTGAGCATTTAGTATGTTCTTATGTATGGTTTATGTGTTTTATGTTCAGGCAAAAAGAGACTTAGAAAATAAGCAGACATTTTCTTCCTAGAATGTAGAATTTTTAAAGATAGGTGATGTTTATAAAAGAAATCTTGGCTTGAGATTTTTTTGACAGCCTGGGGTATTGGCTTCTCGGTCGACATATTCTTCATTCCCAAACTGTGCCAAATATCCAGTGGGTTGTATTTTTATAAATGTCATGTTATTCTAGTAAGATCTGAAGTAACAACACTGGGCCATGCCTTTGAAATGCTTTTAATTTATCATGTACCTTGCTTGTTAGGGTGTGTATGTTGGCATTGTGGGGACATTTCAGCCACATTTCTGTGTGTGAGATCGAGAAGGGATAGGTAGGGTAGCAGGAGAGGAATACCCTGGAAGGGGTGTGCCTGGCAGGCAGAGCCACAGTCCTTTAGTGCCTCCAGGAATGGAACTCCTTCCTGTTTCATTAGCAGGGCCAAAATCTGAAACGTCTCGCAGTCTAGTTTTGAACAACAGATGAGCTGCTGTTAAACTTTTGTAGTCTATGTGTATTACCGCATTCGATGATTTCTTGTCTCTTCCGTATTCATTTCCTAGGGTTGCTGTAACAAAATCCCACAGACTGGGTTGCTTAAATCAGAAATTTGTTTCCCCACAGTTCCAGAGGCTAGAAGTCCAAAATCAGGGTGGTTTCATTCTGAGGACTCTTCCTGACTTGCAGATGACTGCCCTCATGTTGTGTCCTCAAATGGTCTTTCTTCTGTGGATGCATACCCCTGGTGTCTGTTTGCATCTAAATGTCTTCTTGTTCTAAGAACACCAATCAGATTGGATTAGGGCCCACTCTATTGGCTTTATTTTAACTTAACCAACCTGTTTTTGTTTTTTTGTTTTTTTTTTTAATGTTTATTTTTGAGAGAAAGAGAGCAAGCATGTGCCGGGTACATGAGGGAGGAAACAGGGGAGGGACAGTGAGAATCCCAAGTAGCCTCCATGCTGTCAGTGCAGAGCCCAACGCAGGGCTCTGATGCAGGGTTCAAACTCACAAACCAAAATCAAGAGTTGGATCTTTAACCAGTTGAGCCACCCAGGTGCCCCTAAAACTTAATCAGCCTTTTTAAAGGCTCAGTCTCCAAATATAGTCACATTCTGAAGTACCAGGGATTAAGGCTTCAAGGTACGCATTTTGGGGGAAACACAACTCAGCCCATAACACTTCCTAAATATCCTTCTTTCCCTGAGTAAGTGTTGGCTTTACTAGGTAATAGGTACTAGAGCTTATGTCCCAAGGCCGTCAAGACTCACAGAGGCAGTATGGAATCTCATCCTGGCTTTGCAACTTCAGTGGCTCATAGTTGAGCATCTCTGCAGGTCTGCCTCCTTATCTGTAATATAGGATAATAATACCTACTTTGAGGATTGTTGTGAGAATTAAAGATAAAGCATATGAAGACTTTCAAATAAATAATACTGTGTTGAAAGTAAGAACCTGAACAATGGATAAGCAATAAAAGTAGGTCGATCAGTTAAACAAAGGACTTTTCATTCATTCAGCTCCCTTTTTTTCCAAAGCCATCTGTGTTCCCATCATCTGTCTACGGTGGTAGCCTTGTGAGTATAAAAGTTTACTGTGTCACCAGTTTGTTTTACCTATCCAACTGCCACATGCATATTACATTAGTAGTGTAATGGGGTGAGGTGGGAGAAGAAATATTTCTTCTTTCTCGAATAAAATAAATTATTTGTAGCCAATGGTTGTTACTGAGACTTTCTGAAGGATGTGATTTTTCACTAAACTTGAATAAGGCATTTCTGTTATATTAGGCTGTGCTTTTTCTACTGTGTCCTTAGAAATCCTGGGTTTCTGTGATATTAATTGTAGAGTTTCCTAAGTCTGTCTTTCTCTCACCACTGTTAATACCTTGATCTCTCTTCCCCCCTCTCCTCCTTCAACTGTGTGTCCATATACAACTCCAGATATGTACTGGGTGCCTGGGTGGCTCAGTTGGTTAAACATCCGAATCCTGGTTTCAGCTCAGGTCATGATCTCATAGTTTGTGGGTTTGAGCCCCACATCGGGTTCTGTACTGACTTAGGATTCTCTCTCTCTCCCTCTCTCTCTGCTGCTCCCTCACTTGTGCTCTCTGTGTCTCAAAATAAATGAATAAACGTAAAAAAAAAAACAACAACGACAACAACTCTATGAGGCACCTGAGTGGCTCAGTCTATTGAGTGTCTGACTTCAGCTCACGTCATGATCTTGAGCCCTGCATCAGGTGCTCTGCTGTCAGCGTGGAGCCCACTTTGGATCCTCTGTCCCCATCGCTCTCTCTGCCCCATCCCCGCACTCTCTCTCTCTCTCACATACACACTCTCTCAAAAATAAAATAAAACATTTTAAAAAAAACCCCAGCCAACTCCAAATATGTACATGCAGACTTACAAACCCCACTCTTCCTGTATTCATTAGGACAAATACGATAGTGAAGGATTGGCTTCCAGCTTTTGAGTTGGCAGTGGGATGAGAGCACCCACTCTTTTTGCCCCTGGCATTCCAACTAGTTGCTTCATTCTCTCCCCCTGCACAGAAAACCCAGAAATCATATCTCTAGTGATTTCTGTGCAGAGGTGAAACACAGCAGCCTTCCTGGCTGCCTTATACAGTACGGTGTCCTATGTGTGGCACGAGGAGGAAATTACTTGGTTTTTTTAGTGTGTGATTTTTCTCTGAAAGTGGATGTAACAGGAGTGAGACTACTGAGACACATCTCATAGAATTATTGTATCGCATCGCTAAACATACTCCACCTGTTAATTGTATTAAAAAAAATATTTGCTGCTAAAAGATAAAGATAACCAAATGTCAAATCAAGTGTTCTCTATAAAAAGAACACCTTTTACAAACTTGATGGACTCTTTTGAACAAATATGTTCCTATATCTCTTTATAGTTTCTTTGTAAGATGTTGGATTTCATGGGCCATTATATCACACATACGCACGTGCACACACACACACACACACACACACACTCTTCCATAGCCTTACACATTTATTCTCTAACCTGCTTCAATTGTTGACATTAGCTCCTTTACGGTAATCTTGAGAAAGATGTTTTAAAAATTAAAGGGAGTGAGTGATTAATTCATCATACTATAACACCTGGGTTTTGAAATTATGCACTGGGCTGTGTGCTTTCTACAGATTACTTCCTTGAAATCTTTAGCACCTTTGAGTCAGAGAGGAAAAAACCCTAAACAGTTCCTTGACTACCAATAGGTATTTCCCACTGAATTAATAAAGGATTTCCTGTTCTTTCTCCCCATTAATGAGTTTCAGCTCTTTCACTTAGATAATAGAAAGCAGGGCTTTATTGAATTTAACTTTATTTCAAAACAAGGTTTTTTTGGTATACGATCTCCATACCTATAATGCGTAATAACCCAGAGTTCCTAAGTTTGTGAATTTCCGTTCAGAGTTCTTGGATAAAGGACTCCAGCATACTGCCAGCTAATTCATTTAACAACTATTTTTTCCTACCTCTATTTGCATTATCTTTTCTGTGTGTTTCCTTCATTTGCCTAAGATATAGAGTGAGTTTTGAAAAAAATTAAAATAAAATTTCCTACAAGTTTTAATTTTCCTTGGTTCAAAAGTGCCAAAATAAGATACCAGGATAAGTAAGAGCAGCAATGGGCTTCTTTACTGGTGACATAAATGTTTATGTTGGCAGAAATTTAGTTTGTTGCATTTTGACCCTTTCCCACCATACTAGAGTAGTAATTCAACCATTCACAGAATTAAAGCTTCAGCCAAAGATTTTATATAGTCTTGGAAATTAGCAAGTATCACTAGTACATACCCAGTACTGGGTAAGTTGTATGGGGAGGGTGGTAGGGATAGTGCTTCCTTCTAACGAGAAGTGTTACTAATAGGACTTTGTTGCCTTTGTAAAAAAAAAAAAACAAAAACAACTGGAGACACGGTATAGGGGTTGAGAACTATAGTACTAAGTCACTTCTGTTATTTATTATTTGCAAATGAGTTTTAATGCCTGTATTCTAGATGAAGATTTCATTTCTAAACCATTAAGATAGAGTAGTACAAATAAAAAAAATAGTAAACTATGTTCTAAATGATTTTAGTAAATATCTAGTGATAATCCAAGACAACTGGAATTTTTTTTTTCTTTTATGTTGGGTTGTATTTGATTTGTGTATTTGAGAAAAGAGGTGGGCAGATTTTAGAAAGGTAATGTATTTAGAATTTTTTCCTTTACTAGATCAGTAATTTTTACTTCCAACAAAGCCCATTTGTTAAAACTACCT